ATTTCCCTTAATCTTCACAGCAAACCTGTGAGGTGGGTACAGGTCCCCACCTGTATTATTGTTCCCATTTCACAGATGAAGAACTGAGGTTCACAGATGCTGAGTGACTTGCTTAGTCTCATGGTTAGTACACAGTAAAGTGGGGGCACACCCCAGGCCATCTGACCCCAAAGCCCCAGCCCTTGGCTCCAAAGCACAAAATGTCATTAGTTTCAAAGCACTGGATCAATCTTCTACCTTATTTGTGGAAAAAAAGAAGAGAAAACCCAACCAGGCAGGAACATGGGGCAGGAGGATTCAGAATCCCCTTAACAACTCACATTGTCTGAGCTCCTGCCACAGGCCAGGCGCTAGGGTAAGCACTTGAAAGATGTGATCCCATTCAAGCCTCTCACCAGCACCAAGGTGCTTACTATTACTGTCCATGTTTCAGAGGTAAGGACCACAAGGTGTTGAGATGTGAAGTGACTTGTCAAGGTGCCACAGTTAGTTAAGTGGCTGACTCAGAATCAAATCCAGGTAGGTCTGCCCCCACAGCCCATGTTCTTAGCCATGATTCTTCCCCAAAGAGTTGGAGAAAAGCAGAGAAGGTGACCCAAAGTCGGTCCAAGTGCAAACAGGGAGGGAGTTCCCACAGGGTGAGCCAGAAGGAGAAAGGGAGGGGCCACAGCTACCACTCGTGACATTTCTCCACACTGGCTTAAGGGCGGGGATGGGGGGGGATGTCCCATGTCCTAGGAATGGAGGAGCTTAAGGGCTTTTTCTGTGTTTGTCATCTCAATGACTAGAGCCCTGTCCTGTACTTCTTCTCTAGTCCCCTTTGTGCCTAGCCCAGCACCAAACACCATGTGGATCCTCAATGCCCAGTTGCTGAACAAATGAGTGAATGCCCACCTCCCTTTACAAGAGACTATATACCTCAAGTTTTCATGGTTTCCATTCAAAAGTGGTCTGCAAGGTACCTGGGTGACTCAGTCAATTAAGCATCTGACTCTTGATCTCAGCTCAGGTCTTGATCTCAGGGTCATGAGTTCAAGCCCCACGTTGGGCTCCACACTGGGCATGGAGCCTAC